CTTGTTTATATTTACAAGTTTGAGACATCCAGTCAACATAGATTTAACTACATGGAAATTTAGAAAACTATAACATGAATATAATTGAACAAAGATATATTCTATAGTATTTATGGAAAGGAAAAAATTGTGAATATTTTTATTACTACCCAACAAACCAAAGAAGAAAAGACAACTTCTGTTGAAGAACTAGAACTTGTTACTCACACTTAGAAGAAAAAGTACTAATGATCTAGTGCTGTAAAAACTGAGCTACATTTACAAATGGCATGTATTTTTCAAAAAGTACATTTTTATATCTCAATATCAGTTTATGAATTATCATGTAAAGTTATTACTGCTAAAATATACAAAATAGATTAAACTAACGGAAGTTAAGCAACAGTTTTTGTTATTAATTACTCTAAAATTTTACAATATTTTCAAGTATTTAAATAAAAGATGAAATATATATAAAAAACAACAGAGACAATTTTTTGTGTATGTTAACAAAATGTGAATTTTCACTACGTCATTAAAATTGGTAAAGTTAAATCATTGACTGTTTGGTACTTATAAGGCACAATGATTTGTAGGCAATGAAAAATGTTAATACATACTACATGTTTTGACAGAGCATTGGTCTATTTTCTTCAGGTATGATACAAATCCAAACAAAGAGGTTTATATACAGAATAAAATATTTCTAGGGACTATCGGTAACAGTATGTAACAACAGGGTGTTATCATGTGATGACAAAATATTGTGACAGAGTTATTACCTAAAAGGAAGGTCAGAGGGAGGGAGAGCTAAGGGAATAAATTTTGCCATATTTTGTTAATGTTACTACGGCCATTGTCTCAGTTTAAAGATAAAACACCCGTTTTCATAACATCTATGGTTTCTCCTGAACTGTAAATCTTCTAAAGTCATTTGTGGTGTTATTCAAATTAAGTGGTCCACTAAATCTCATCGTATTGAAGCAATAATTTAAAAAAATAAGCTTGCAGTGTTAAGAGCCACCATAAAAGATGTCTGCACAAAAATCTCCAAGTAAGAAATCTACCTTGAACTTACCAACAACTTATTCCCAGAAGATTGGAACAGACTAGATACCTCAAGTTGGTTTATATCTACAAAGACTGCAGAACAGAAGAAGTTCAACCAGGAAAAGAAGTTTCAGAAAGAAAAGGAAAAGCAGAAATGTAAACAATTTCCAATCATTAGCTCTTCCGCCATCTGTTGTAAACCTCTCAAGTGAACCGTTAACTAATGACCAGATGTCTATCTTGAACTTAGGTTTAAATTTTGCTGTTAAATGTAGTTCATTACTAACTGAATAAATAGTTGCTACCACTGAAACTAACATCAACAAACTTAAATTATAGTCAAGCCAACATATTTTCTATCCTTTCAAAATGTAAGGAGAATAAGCTTAAAACTAACCTAAATAGCAAAGAAATTAATGCTTTAAATGAATTAAGATCTAACAGCAACATATACATAAATAAAGCAGACAAAGGTGGCTGTACGGTAGTCATTGATAAATCCCATTACAGACAAGAGGTCAACACCCAACTATGTGATGGATCATATACTTTACTAAGAAATGATTCAACCAGTAAAGTTTTCCCCCTGTTTCTATGCTCTTCCAAAAATACACAAGGAGAATACACCATACAGACCTATTGTATCTAACATAGACTCACCTATACAAAATGTTGCTAAATTCTTAACTAAAAATTTACTTCTTTATTAGAGATTGACCATTTCTCTCTTAAAAATTCCAAAGACTTCATGAACAACAAAAATATTTGCCTAGAAAAAGAAAACATTTTAGTATCCTATGACATAGAATCTCTCTTCACTTCTATACCTGTAGAACAAGCCTTAATCTGTTTAAAAGCCAAACTTTAACAAACTATCCCCTTTAGAAATTCAAGAATGTTGGGTATACTGTTTCTACCACGTTGCCATATGCTGAAGGTATCATCCACATAATGTAGCCAAATTAAAGGTTTTTGTATGTGTGTGTGTGTGTGTGTGTGTGTGTGTGAAAGAATGTCCAAAAAGTTCTTCTTTGAACACAGAAATGTACAGATCACTAAGTAGGGTGGGAAGGGAAGATCCCATGGTTAAACCACTGTTTTGTTTGTAGAAGTTATCTTCATAGGTAAAGTAAGTGTTGTTGATACAGTATTCAGTTAGGCTAGTAAGGTGGTTTATAACCTTAGGATCCAGTATAAGACTGAATATTATAACCTTTACATATGAAAGAGAATCTGAAACTGCCTCCCCTTTTTAGATATTAAAGTTATAAGAAAAAACAAGAATATGATGACCAACATATACAGGAAAAACTTTGCTGTATCCATGCCACCACACCAAAGATCTAATCACCATCTATCACAAAAAATGTCTACATACTATACTCTCATAAACTGTGCAATAGAATTCTGTACTCACAAAACAGACTAATACATTGAACTGAATTATTTAACAAATATTGCTGTATCTAGGGGTTTCAGCCTTGATATCATACGCAAAGCTTTCATCAAACTTAAAAATTACAAACAGTTCTACACTAGTTCTAGCCTTTCCTTTATCAGTAACATAAGCCATAACAATTTTGTACTTGTTTCCTTTTGTTCCTGAAGTGGCTGCTGAAATAACCCATATATTTAATAACTTAAAACCAAAAGTAAGAACTCTATATAACCCCCCACCTAAGATAAGTGCTTTATTACCCACCTTAAAACAAGCTCTAAAGAACAAACAAAAGCAAGGCATATATAACATAGAATGTGAATGTGGTAAGAAATATATTGGATAAACTGTACGATCTCTCAAAATTAGATGAAATGAACACCAAAGCCACATACGTAAATGGAAATTTGAAAAATCTGCCTTAACATCATCAATTTGAAACCAATCATACGATTATTTTGGAAAAAAATGTCCCTCTTACACCAACCAAAACATAAAATAGAACAAAATATTCTTAAACGCATTGAAATCATGAAAACAGGCATTATATTTTTAAACTACGTCAAGATTGTAACAGCTTCAAAATTCACAGCTCAACATATTCTCACCCATGGCTTTTTCTACTTCTTTTTCCACTTTAGAGCAGAAAAACCAAGATGACGCCATCCACCTTCTACAGTTTTTCCGACCAAACCTTTAGAGTATCCACCACATACAAGTGAACTATCAAAGACAAATCCAGAAACACCTGCCACCACTGTTCTAGCCAATCCTGCCATGAAGTACCCACAACCAGAAGCTAATTCTAAAGACATGTTCATTCAAACCACACAAGTCAAGAAGCAAACTGAGCCAATACACAAATTCACCCAGACCCCACCTACAAAGAAGGAAACAATGAAAACTCAATCCACACAAACTCAAGTGTGATTAAACCACTCTTCAACATCCACTGACTCCTTCCAAACGAAGACCAACTCAGACATGCGTCTCCAAGAAAACCAGGAGAACCCAGACAGAAGTACACTCTGTCTACGACTTTCACAGATTCCTTTACTCATCACCCAGTCAGTCTCATTCACCCTATGAATACAGGACTGATGCCTAGTTTGATGAAAACTTGCAATTCCCGTGTTTTCAACATTTTTATTTCAACGTAGAAGAACAAGTCTTCGAAGAAGACTACCACCAAACTTTTCCAGTCCACCAGCCAAGCCTATTTTAAGATGCTCTATTATACCTAATGTATACTAACCTTTGTATTTTCTTTCCTTCCAGCTTCCACCAGGCACGATTGGGACATTTTTTTTGGCACCCCGGCCATGAAAGTGGGTTGTCTCGAGGTACTTCCATTTCCCCCCACAGCAAAATTTACCCTGTAGGATCCTATGATCCCAACTCTGAAAAACTACCATTCCGCATAGTTACAACTTCTTTTATCTTTTACCTGCATGATTACAAAATTTACTAAATTAAACTACTGTAGTCTTTAATGATATCAAACCTTGTAACAAAACCTTGGAAATTTATCCTGATTTCGTGGAACTTTTAATTTTACCCCTTTAACTTTACAGTCCATTCACTCATTAAAATTTCAATTGATGAATTAGTACCAGTGTTTTAGGACAGTCATTAAAAAGGAACTTGCTACCTTTATCATAACCCTTTTCACTGTTCAACAATTACCAGTCTTCAAGATGTTTTTTCACAACCTCTCCTTCTTGCTGTGCTACTTCCTGCCGTAAGCTTGCGATACTAACAGCTTTCCAGGATGTCTTGAAGCTCTGCATCAGTCACACACACAGCACATAATACACCAAGCCTATTAATCCTTTAACCATGTGGTAACAATGGTCACAATCTGCCAGTTAAATCTAATTAAGTTACTTAAAGTTTTGGCCACTGGCAGAACATTTACCAAACTTACTTAAAGAATAATCCTCAATTCTAAGAGCAAGGTAAAGAGAAACAAGTTTCTGAGTGCCCCTGATTATCTTTCAGGCCTCCTCAAGGAGCCCTAAAAGATTTTAAACCAAAATTACTGTCAAGATATTGATTGATTGATTTTGTATCATACCTGAAGAAGACAGATCAATGCTCTGTCTAAATATGTAGTATGTATTAAGATTTTTCATTATGTTCACATACCGTTGTGTCTTATATATACAAGTCTCCTAGCGTAATGTGCTTCCTTACACAAATACATTGACTATTTGTTTAACATAAGCAAGTTTCTGCTGATATCAAGGTCTGAATTTAGTGCAAGGAGAATTACAGTACAAAGTAAGTAGAGGTAAAATGCAGTATTGCAATTCAGTTTCATGTGTGCTTTGTAATCAGTCAGAATGTTACAAAGAAATATGACTTGGTTGACAAACTTGAAATCTATGTCTAACTCACATTGGTGTTTTGAGACTGATACTTTACCACTTGAGTTAACATGAAGGTCCCAATCTGCAAGCAAGTAACTCCTCAATACCAACAGTTGTATATTCAAAGGAACTGTATAAAATATGCAAAATATTGTGCTTACTTGGAAGTAATATGCAAGGGTCTGGTCCAGATTCTTCAACAAACCTTTCTGGTATCTCAGCTGCTTTCTGTGCCTGAGAATATTTAAATTTGTAATTAGTTTTCATTAACTCACATGTGATATTACATAAAAAGAATCTTTATTTTATTCAATCTAATACATAGTCATCCATTAAAAAAACTAATTACAAGCAAAACACATCATATTGCTAAGTTCAAATAAAATTATCATAAAAACCAAAACTAAAAAGGCAGTTTTTGAAACTCCATCAACACATTGCTTTTCCTAAGCTAGTTTAATAAATAATCAAGCTTGAGTATCAGCAATAAAATACATTATGTATATAATCTTTTAAGCTTTTCAAACCTACACTTTAATTACCTGAATAGAACAATTCTTCTTAGAACTTGATAAATTACCATCAAAATGAAATGGTCGCACAAATGTAGGCTGAAGTTCTGATGGTCTTCCAATTTGTAACTGATGCATTATCTTTATGGGATAAAAATTAGATATCATGTTTATTGATTTTTTGTTTTTGTTTTGTACATGAAAAACCTTAGGCTTCAAAATAAAAATATTTTGAAATACTATAAAACAACACAACACAGATTGTTAATTAACACTCACAGACATAAGTTTTTTGTCTTAAAAGAAGATTTTGGAAATTGTCTTATTAAAATTAATGATCCAGCTTTTTTCAACATCCTCTTTTTTTTAAACCCATAGATTCAACATCCAAACATATTCATACTAACAAAGCTATTTTTGATAACAATCACAAAAGTACTTTAAATAGAGTTCAGCTTGTGGAACAAATTTTATTATAATGTATATAAAAAAGCATTGTACATGTGGTAATACCATCAAAGTTTTCTCCTGTTAACTACATTGTTATTTTACTTTAGGCCAAATGCTATTCTCCAATTTATTTATTATGTTCTTTCTGTTTACAAGTACCATTTTCATCTTGGATTACATGCTTAACATTTGTTTAGAAACTACCAAATAGTATGGATTAAACTTTTGAAAAAGTGAACTTGACATCAAAATTTGTAAAAAGTTTGAAAATAACTTTTTATTTCCTAATTAAATTTAATTTGTATGAGCCTAACAACTACTAATCAAAAATGCTAATTAAACCATCATTCATAAAATGCAACTGAAACTTCTGCTTGAACATGTTTGACTAAAATATATGAATCTATCAGTCTTTCAGTGCACCAAATGGCAACTATAAACACAAATAATTTTTATGATTTCCCCAAATGAATTTGGCCTTATACTTAAAACTGAAAAAAGTGTTAAATTTACTATGTCTGTAGCTTATTGTTGGCACAAACACTTGTTAAACTCAAATAAAAAAACTATTCATCTTTAATCCTCACAATGAAAACAATACTTCTGTAAAAAAACTCTTGTGCACAGTACATCCTCAGTACCCATTTCTCTTCCTCAATTCAATCTTGCAAAAAAAAAAAAAACTTGAGTTTTGCTAATTTCCCTAAACAAACTCATTATCTTCAATTACAAAACCTTGCCTGAAACATTACTCAAAATAGAAATTTATCAAAATAACTAATAAATTTCAGCAAATAATCACAATGAATGTTTCCCCCCAATATAATCTTCTCATATACGGTTTCTTCCCCCCCTAAAAAAAAAAAAGAGACATCTATCCAGCTTTTTTTTTTTTCAATATTTCTCCAATCATGTTTCCTTTTCTTTTATCAATATGTAAGCATGTTCAGGTTGACCTATGCCACTTTGAAATCCAGGTCTTTAAATAATTAAAATCCAAAACTTTGATTATTATCTTAAAGGCCAATAAATGTAATTCAGTAGTAATCATAGAGAAAAGAGAATATCAAGAAAAAATTTCATCTTGCATGATAAGTTCAAATTTCTAGATGTTTTTAAAGATCTCATCCTTTTCAGAGAATGTCTACTCACTGGTTTTCTTTTAACACTAAAAAAGAAAACTGTTTTTCTGAATTGTATGAATTTTTAAGATCCACATTTGTCAGAACTTCTCAATTATATGGTCTTCCTATTCTCTCAGCCTATGGTTTTTTCTTTGTATGTTACTTCTGGTTCATCATATATATAAATAATTCAACAAATTTATCCAATATTTCAACATTTTGATGTAAATGTTCATACAAAATTAGTGAAATTTGATATAAAATTGGCAAACTTTCAGTTCAACAATGTAAAGTATGATCATACTGATGGCATAGCCATGGGTAACCCATGTGCCTCTGTGCTTTATAATGTATTTGTGATTTCCATTGAACCATATATTCTGAACACTATACTCTGTCATTCCATGTATATTGACTGCAACACACTGATTATGCATTTACAGATCGTTAAAATCCACTACAAGCCCAACTTTTACAAAAAGATTTAACAAACAACACAACTATAAAAAGTCACTGCAGAACAAGAAAATTTTCTAACAAACATCATTATAAGTGAAAAAAGCTAATAAATGAAAGGAAACTGGGATTGTGGCTTAAATGCAGGACATCTGGCTAGCAGTGTCAATGCTTTATCCAACCGAGCTATCCATCAGTACAAGTCATCATTACCTCCCTTCACTCATAAGGCTTTTTAACTATGACTATGAAACTTCATATTACTTTGTGTTGCTGTGGTCAGGCAATTAATGGGTTAAATAACCACCATCCAACCAAATACATATTATTACTGTATTTAACATTTTAAATAAACTGAACAAGAAACACATATATTGTTATCATTCCACAATGTCGTTATACATAAGTCAGATTAAGGATTTTCCATAAGTGTTTATTGCAAGGCCACCCATTATTATTGTTATTAAAGCCATAGTAATTAAGCCGTGCGCGATTCTACACACGAATTTCTCCACAAAAATCATACTGACCTCTACAGCTGAAAATATGATCTAATACGCCCATGTGTAATTATCGAATTAAAACGGTGCATAAATCAGACCCACTGAAGGACAAGTATGCTGGACATTTTATATTTCCTCCTCTTTAGCAAACAACCCCAAAACATAGTGAATTATAGCATGTAGAGTAACCTCTCACGTTTATAATATATATATATATCGATTGGATGTTTGACAATCCCCAAGAAAGTGAGGGCCCCTGGTGCAGTTAGCATGCCTGTCGTTTAATATTTAATTTTTTGGAGATAACTGTTGTAGAGGTTTGGTAGCGGCCGCTGGAAGCTCTGATGTTTCTAAACTAAAAACGCAATAATATTCAGCCTTGAATTGGATTTTACTGAAGCTTTACATCCTGCATACAGTACAAGTGTAAAACCAACTCTTTATTGTCAGTTTATTCTAATGTTTTTGGGGGTGGAGTACCCATTCTTTCCCCCATTATTGGTGTCCCAGGATTCAACCTCTGGTGCCAGGCTTGAGATGCAAATCCTAATTCTACAGTATTTGATCATCTAAGTACTACAATATAATAATATTGTTCTTAGACGACCGTTTGCAGTGGCATAGGAACAGGGATGGGTCAGTGTCTTCCCAAAAAATCTGATGGAGAAAGGTGTGTGTGTGTATACAAGCAGTAAATAACAATGACATTGTCATCTCCATTCCACCTCGTAATGATTTTACTGACTTGCTAATAACCACAAACTTAACTTTATCAATATAGTTTATGAAACTACTAACTATAATGGAAATTTAGTTTTATGAGCTGTATTTCTATAATTGAGCTGGTCAGTTAGTGGTACTTGCAACTCAGTTAAATTGATAGCTCCATTAATTGATGAATACAATTTTCCTTAAATTATGGCATATACACGTGAAAAAAAAAAAAGTTGTTGGTATGTGCTGCCAACCAGTTGCATTCCCTTTATTCAGCACGTCCCCCAGTGGCACAGCGGTATGTCTGCGGACTTACAATGCTAGAATCCGGGTTTCGATACCCATGGTGGGCAGAGCAGAGATAGCCCATTGTGTAGCTTTATGCTTAACTACAAACAAACAAACAATTCTCAGTTTTACAATTAGTGAAACTGGCATTTAGCCTTAGTTTCAAGCAATATTAGTGGCATTATTTTCATTACTTGGATAGTTGGAACAATCTAAAATAATATTACGTATCTGTTTGTTTGTTAATTTCCCGTAGAAATTCTTTCCGAGAAACTTCAGCGATACAAGTCCTTTCTTAATTAAAACTAGTTTATTCTTTTTCGATACAACTTTGTAATACACAGAATTTCCACAGTCAATACGTTTGCAATCTCGATAACAAAACACACACTTTATATTATCGTTACTACCGCTTGCTTGACTCAATTATCTGTCTCTATATCTATCTATCTGCAATTATTTCTCCGCTTTATTTGCCGGGCTTATATACTAAGACAGAGGGCGCTTGGAACAGACAAGAGTTGCCAATGAAAAGTCATGATTCTTCTAGAAACTCCAACGTGCATGCTCCCAGCATCACGTGACTTACGCTGTTGTAATACTGCCCCATCCTTAGTATTGTTAGTCCCGAACAATAGCCACTTACATTAAACCAATAGATAATTAACAATAACTTAATTAAATGTACAGAATTTACAACCGCAAAATTAAAATTCAACAAATTCTCTTAATTTTACGGGACGTATCTTCTTCCGTACTGGTCTCCGTCTCGTTGGCTTCTGCTTCACATGGGGTTCATCTGCTCCATCAGGAAATGTCCTATTATCGGTAACAGTCACATCAGTGGTAGTAACTTCATTAAGGGCTTCACTGTTTCCCTTCTCAAAACTGGGTAGAGTTTCTTCTTCGACAGTGGCTTTTTCAGGTGACACGTCTTCATCAGCGTCATTTGTCATGGAAAAGACAACTTAGGAGACTTCTCTTTGGTCTTCCTTGGATTATACAACCACACCTTGTCTCCTGGTTCAAAGCTGACTTCAGTAGATCTCTTATCATAACATAGCTTCATGGAATCAGCAGACGTTTTCAAGTTTGAATGCACTTGATGGTGAATATCATCCATCCTTTCAGATAACACTTTCACGAACTACGACACATTTTCAGGCAACTCTTTGCAAGGTTGGCGTCCTGTTATCAGATCCACTGACAACCGAAGTTCCCGACCAAACATCAACTTTGCTGGAGTGTATCCGGTGGCATCATGCTCTGCTGTTCTATAGGCCATCAACAGGGGAGGGAGTAAGACATCCCAGTCATCTTGGCAGCTATTACAAAACTTTGCCAATTCCTGTCCCATTGTACTTTTCTACCATCCCATCAGACTGTGGGTGAAGTGGCGTTGTCCTGGTCTTTCGTATGCCAAACAACTTGCAGCATTCATTGAACATAGCTGATTCAAAGTTACGGCCTTAATCTGAATGCAGTTCGTATGGCATACCAAACTTGAAGAAGAAATCACTAACAGCCAAAGCTACAGTTGCAGCTTCCTGATTTGGTATTGCATATGCCTCAGGCTACTTGATGAAATAATCCATCACCACACAAATGTACCTGTTTCCAGCACGAGTTTGGGGCAAAGGACCAGCAATATCAATGGCTACTCTTTCCATTGGTACACCAACTTGATATAACTTCATTGGAGCACGTCCTTTATGCTTGGTTTCCCTTTCAGCACAACATGTATTGTAGGTCCTGCACCATTCTTCCACATCTTGCCTCATACCTATCCCGTAAAATCTCTGCCATAGGTGACTCAATGTCTTCTTAAC